TGACATCCTTTTAAAATAGAATAAGCTTGCAAACCTTTCACAATTAACGAATCAATCATGAACACTCATCTGGAAAATCTGCAATTACTCAACTGAGGAAATGCGATCTTTCTCGATTAAAAAACTGGAAGAAATGAGATGATGCTTCTGGAATAGTGCATACATTAAATTCTTCGAGCTAACATAATTTGGCGAGGTGGTTTATAGGAATGTTATACGATGTTAATTCCAGATAAATGGAGTGGATTGCAAATTAATAAATAGACTTTTTGTAAAGATAACGATAATTTCTTAGAAATTTGAATGATCCAATCAATAACACTTGAAAAGCACATATCTCGTAGGAATAAGCAGGAATGATACATCGTTAAACAGACATCAATCAACATTGCTGCTATAAGTTCCATTGCTGATTTGGATAACATTAATTTCACATATAATTCCTGTGGAATTCGACAGCTTATAATAATACTTCCGTCTTTGATTCCTGAATAAGCAAACTGATGAAGAAAACATGATTGGATATGGTTTAAATGAACAAGTAGACAATGTGACATTTTTGTTCCCTATTCTGAATCAATTTTATCGAGTAAAAAATGCGAACAAATTTTTTGTTTCTATAACTGAGGAGAAGTATATTACATGCATTTCCCAGTTAATGACACGAGAATTCTTTTTTTCTGTATCATCCATCCATCGAGCACATCAAATTTTATAAACTAAAGTAATGAAAAACTCGAAATTAAAATAAAAAATGATATATCTTACCCATGCACATAGTTTACTGTAGTTCGTGTATTTCCTCTTTTGAAGTTCAAATTTAATGAAAAATGCTATGTTCTCGCGATCTTCAATCCAAAACGCTGTACACGTTTTTGGAGGTGTCAACCAAGGAAAGACTAAAACATTCAAACGATGCAGTCTGAAATATGTGAGTAACATTTGACAAATATCTAGTACGAAACGCATTTCGAACCACACTTGAAATTGCGATAACTGTAAAAACTCACGAAACCAAATCACCAAATAAAAAGATGATCTCATTGCGCGCTTCACTCGCTGCCATCATACCCGCCCTTTGCGTAGGAACCACATTCACCGTCCATAAACTACCTCAAAATAACATAACAATCATTCAGATATGAAGTAAAATTAAGAATATTTCTGGCAAATCTATGCACTCTGGCATAAAACTTATTTATAGGATTACAATTTAGGTTTCATAACTCTTCAACTTATATTAAAACTGAAAAGAGATAATAATGATGCAATCGTTGAACAATGTAATATTCCTAAAAAATAAACGAAGGTCGTAAAAAGAAAAATGAAATTAGTTGAACTTAAAATCCGAAAAAAAATTATGAAACAAGAATAAAAAAAACAAGTTAATTATTTTGCACGAAAATTCCTCAATACTTCTTGGCGGCACACCTCACCCTACTACACAAGCCCAAAGCTACCAGGCCTAAAAAATTCCCCGAATACTCCCTCTCTCGCCGACAACCTAAAACGCGACAACCGTAACGCAGCGAGCTGACACGCTACACGCGCAAACCTGCCAGGTCGCGACCTGAAACACTATCCGCCATGCTATGAAATCGTTAACGTCTCAATTTCGGGTGCCCATTTGAATTTTGTGAGTTTTCCGGAAATTCGGTTTATTCTTCAATTTTCACGATTCAATCACATAAGCTGCGATATATCTTTTGTTTCTTTTTTACGATTCAATCACGTAAGCTGCGATAAACTGTCCGAGATAGAAAAAAAAACGATTGAACAGACGAACGCACCACAAATGATGATGCAAAGGATTAAATTTCCATTTT